ATTTGTACAGGATGGAGTGACATACATTCAACTCATGCAAGTTTGTGCTACCAGAATTATTGGTGGACTTTAATTGGCTAGACTGGAGGCCCATCTTATAGAATAATAATAAACAAATACAGAAGTATTTAGGAAACAACATCTGGCCTTGTACTGTATATGTATGTAACATCTTATGAAAAATTTTTTTTGAATGTATGTCAAATTTATAATTGGAATTGTGACCACTGAGGAAGGCCCTTTGAGGGGCCGAAACGCGTTTGGTTCAGTTGCACAGCACTAACCCATCTATGTATGAATGTTGAGAAGTTTTTTATGTCTGAATGGTATATTTTTAATGAGTCTAAGTTTTCAAATGTGTACACCTGAATAAATTTTGCATTTTTATAATATTTAGAGTCAGCTTAACCCTTGTGGATCCATAGCAGAAGCCCAGACCATAGTCACCCACAGGGGCACATTCATGGTGTGGCGGCTACAATTTGGTGTCAGCATGGCCCTGGGGATTTTCCAAAATCTCATGGACTCTCTACTTAAAGGAATCCCAGGAGTCCAGCCCTTCTTCAATGACGTTCTGATCGCCACCCCCATGAAGGGCGTCAGCCGGTTGTGCGCTGTCCTGCAGTGGTTTCCAGCCAGCCAGCCTAAAGGTGAAGTGGGAAAAGTGCCTCCTGGGAGTTCCACGGGTTGAGTTCCAGGAATTCTCCATCGATGCCAAAGGCATCCATCTGGCCCCAGACAAGGTTTGCGCTATAGTCAGTGCCTCCGCGCCTACTTCCAAGCAGGAGCTGCAGGCTTTCATGGGGCTACTGAACTTGTACCATTCCTTCTTCTCCTATAAAGCTGCACTGGCAGAGCTGCTGCACCGCCTCCTTGACAAGAAAGCCTCGTGAGTCTGGGGCCGGCAACAAGCCGATGCATTCAGGAGCGTTCAGGAGCTGCTCACCTCCAATGAAGTTCTGGCCCATTTCAATGAGAAGCTGCTCATCATACTCGCTTGTGATGCTTCTCTGTATGGGGTGGGTGCTGTTCTTGGCCACCAGCTGCTGGACAGCAGAGAAGTCCCCATGGCATATTATTCCTACACCCTGTCTTTGGCTGAGCACAACTATGCGCAAATCGATATGGTGGCGCTGGCCGTCGTTGTGGGGGGATCAAGAAATTCCATGACTACCTCTATGGACAGCCGTTCATCATTGCGATGGACCACAAGCCTCTGCTAGGACGTCTTGCCCCAGATTGCCAAAAAACCCAGATGCTCTCGCCTCAGGTACTTTGTTGGTCCATTTACCTTGCAGGATACCAGTACTCCCTCCACCACTGTCCAGGGAAGGTGATGGGGCATACTGACACCCTCAGCCGCTTGCTGCTCTGTTCCATCAATCCGTACTGGGCTCCTGCACACCAGATTCTGCACATGGAGGAGTTTCCCGACCACCCTCTGTATGTCGTGGACATTTCCCACCACACTGCAAGGACCGGGTCCTCTCCCACATTCTGGAATGGGTGGGGAAGGGCTGGCCCACCAGTTGGGTGGGCGTGGACTTTGCAGCCTTCTCATTTCACTGGGACAAGCTTTCAGCTCACAAAGGATGCCTTCTGTGGGATAGTCAGGTAGTGGTTCCTGCTCCCCTTAGCCAGCGAGTGTTGTCAGCCCTGCATGAGATGCACCCTGGATTTGTGCGGATGAAGGCACTCACCTGGAGCTATATGTGGTGGCCGGGTATGGACAGTGAGATAGAGGCACGCTGGAGGGCTGTAACATAGGTCCAGTGCTGCCAGGCCTGCCAAGAGTCCCGGCCAGAGCAGCCCTACACTCCCACGCAGCATTGGGAGTCCACCTGCAACCCTTGGTCCTAGGTGCATTTGGACTTTGCAGGACCCTTCCAAGGACAAATATTATTTATTTTGGTGGACTCCTACACCAAATGGCTGGAGGTTGTGCCTGTTGCCTGCTGCCTCCACCTCCTCCAGAGTGGCAATCTGGGCCATCAGATGAATCTTCAGCATGCACGGCCTACCCAACATGGTCGTGATGGACAACGGGACTGCCTTCACTTCAGGGGAGTTTCCAGGAATTCTTGGGCTGCTACCTCATCAGACATATCTGCTCTGCTCCCTTTCACCTGGCCAGCAATGGGCAAGTGGAGAGGATGGTGCGGATCATGAAGGAGTCCCTCAGGTAGATTATCCACGGGGACTGGGATCATAGATGCACTGCACACCACGGACAGTTCTGACCGTGTGGAGTCGCCCACACCCATACAGACTGTTCCAGAGCCCTGGGACTCTGCTCTTGACTCTCCATCCTTCCCCAGCACTACTGATGAGACCCTGACACAGCCCCAGTGACTTCGCCAACACCATCTGAACTGAGACGCTCTCATTGGGAAAGGTGCAAGCCAGTGTACCTTGAGGACTATGTGTGCTTTGGAACTTAGGGGAGAGGGTTTTTATATATTAGGGCTGGAACATTCCAGGACTGTCTACCAGAAACTGGCTGAGCTTGGAGATCCAGAACAATAGCCCACCAGGACTCTGGAGGTGACCAGTGATGAAGTAATGTTATGTAAACAGCCTACTGTTGGGAGTGGGGTGTGTTTGGGTGTGGTTTTTGCATGCTATTTAAACAGGGCTGTTGCCCTAGGGTTTTAGTTTTGTTCCTGAAATCACTTAATAAAGTAGAGCTGTTTCACTGCAATGCGTCTTGAACCCTGTATTTAATACCCACACAAGTCCTTGCATATTCCTCATGGTTCAATTGGGCCTGGCCTGGCTGACTCCATGCAATGTACAACTGAACCCAGCACAGCAACTGGTACCACACAACTTGGCCAGAGTTTTTCCAGTGAGTTGCTGCCAGTGGTAGGGAAGTAGGTGGGGGGTGGGAGATAAAGGTAGGTTGGGTTGGTGGGTGGGAAGGAGAGAAGAATGAAGGAAAAGGCAAGAGGCTGGGGTGACTTTTAGGGACGGGAATAAGGAAATGGTGAGGGAGGGGAAATTGAAATACCCCTGCAAGTCTTTGTGGGTTCCACACTTGTAGGGCCTGTTGCCATAGGTGATTTTTACTACCCTGGAGTACAATAATCCAGGATTTGCTTGCATTTGACAGTTCAAGCTTCAGCATACAATGAAAACTACTCTAAACATTTTAGAGGGTTTCATGCATGAGTCTTCTGGCTTTGTTATGTTCAGCTGTACAAATTGTCATGGATTACTGTGGGCAACAGTAGTAAGGCCACACATCTTACCCCCTCTTTTTTTAAAAGGTCTTAGATCATAAGCTTATGATAGCTCACAAATGACTAGTTTCCTCCAATCAAGATACTTCTTGAAATGCAGGGGGGAAAGTAGTCATTACCAGAGAGCCGGCATTTTAGATAAATACAGTTATTTCTGATCAAAGCTACAATTTGAAGTTTTCAATTCTTGTCTTTGATCTAAGAAAAATACCCTTTCCATCTGAAATCCTGGGAGATCACTAGAGAGTGATTTCAACCTTGAGTCACTTTTCTTCAAATTATCTGCTGCGTTAGGTAGCTTGAAGCTGGAAGAACCATTTTACCAAGAACCTGAAATTGCCTTAAGAGTCTTTAAAGGGAATCCTAGGTGTTTAATCCTTTACTAGTTTAACAGTAACATAAAATGAATTGAAGAACAGCTGAACAGGAAAGCAAGCATGATATTGAATGGATTTTAAATCACAGCTGAGCAAAGATTATCCATAGGTTTTTGCGAACATATTCAGCACTGCACATGATGCATCCCCCTGCCAGAGATTTTTTTCCAGCACTCTGTGTAAAAATAAAGATGCTTTCACATAGTCTAACCCGACTGACTTCACAGTACTTCGATGTCATCATAAGCTACAGCGAGGTCATTTTTGTGACTAACTCAGGAAGGAAAAGGCAGCAATAACCAAGAAAGAAATGACACTATATTAGCAGCCAGGGAAAAACAGTAGCACTGAACAGGATTCTTCTAAAGATGAGTATTTGCAAAGTGGGTTATATAAGAACATAAGAAGAGCTGTGCTGGATCAGAACAGTAGTCCATTTAGTCTAGCATCCTGTCTCACACAGTGGCCAACCAGTTTTTCTGGAGGGCCAACAACAGGGCATACAGCTTGAGGCCTTCTCCTGATGATTCCTCCTGGCACTGGTATTCAGAGGTTGCCTGCCTCTGAATGTGGAAGCTCCCTTTAATAATCATGGCTAGTAGCCACTGATGGACCTATCCTCCATTACTCTAATGCCTTTTTAAAAACGTCAATGCTTGTAGCCCTCACTACGTTCTGTGGCAGCAGATTCCACATTTCTATCGCTTACTGTGTAAAGAAGAATTTCCTTTTGTCCATCCTGTTCCTTACTCAGATAACAGCAGCATCTTCCCCAATGCAAAGAACCACAGAAAGCTTCAATGTACCACAGGAAAGCACCACCAATAGCTGAGCAGGTGAGACCCAGTGTTTTTCAATCAAAACATCTCTCTTATTTAAATCAGCAGGTTCTACTTCAAAGCTCTAAAAAATTCTGTCACTACACCAACAAATACTCTTCAGGGTGGTTTTGATTAAGTACAGCAAAGTGTACCACCCACTCATCCCTGCATTACAATTACCTTAAGGGTTTTCAGAATACAGGTGATAAATTCTATGGGTTGGAATGGGCAACAGCTGCAGTAAACCAAACAAAAACCCATAAGCCATTGAAGTTTCAAATTGCATTCTTTACCCCCAAAGTTGGTTGATTTTTGATTGATTGGATTTTTACCCCACCCTCCCTGTATTCTTGGTACTTGGAAGGTTGCAACTGGAAGGTTTATATTTTCGAACAAAACAATTTACTTTCAAAAACATACAATGAGGAAAAAATATTTTGCTGGTTAATAGTATTAATACTCAACCCAGTCACCCCCTACTCCCCAACAGACAGATGGATAGAGGACGCACTGCTTTTATTGCATACTTTAAACATAATAATCATGGGATAATTTCTTACCAGGTGAAATTATATAGAAGAAATCTTTAAATTCATCCATCCACACCTCCGCCAGTCGTCTATTGTTCTTGTTAATTACATGACCAGTACCACCCGGAAAAGTATAAGGTGTGGCTTTCCGAAAGACATGGCCTACGTGTGAGCATGTTACAATCTCCAGTGAGCCTCCACATTGCCAGATCTGAAATATTAAAAGTAAATCAAAATTAAGCAGCTTGTTTGCAATCAGACAAAAATTAAGTGTTGATACGCTACCAACTTATTCAACAAAAAGGGCTATGAAAACTAAAAAGAGGAGCTCGATAATGTGCTATCCTGGGAGTATGGCTCAATGCGTTATCCTTGAAAACACTCTAGTGGCTCCTTAACATTTTCATGAACACATTTATTTGGAAGTCTCACCAACAGAACTTAGGCACACTTACGATGATAATTTGGGTGGATGTTGCTAGCCAGCTTTTTACAAATAATTAAATAAAGTACTGAAATATCCAGGTATGCTAGATTTAAAAAGCACAAGTTCATTTCTGAACAAACATAGGAAGTGCTTTAACTTGCAGGATCGCTGACAGTGATCCACGAATCCCAGGACCCCTGGATCACATATCTGTAGGGATGGGGCTCTATGTATTTTGCATGTTAAATTTCTTACCTGGCTGCAATGTGAAAGCCACTAGTACTTTCCCCACTACATTACAGTGTTGCCTTACCTTTGGAATGCCCTCCCACTTGAAGCTTGCCTGGTGTCTACTTTCCCTTATGTGCCAGGCCAAGACACTTCTTTTTTACCCAAGATTTTAAAATTGTTTTATGATCTGCTCCTAGTCTGAGGACTGTTTATCCATAGCATTTTAGAGTGCTCCATTTTACATGATTTGATGTCCTAGCTTCTTTTATTGGCATATTTTTATTGGATAGATTTACTGATATGTTTTATTGTTGTAATTTGTTATAGTTTGAATTATCTTTTTGCTTGGCTTTGTTTTATTGTTTTGAACTGCTTTGAGCAGGTTTGGCGAGGCAGCATACAGATTTTTGAAATAAATTTTAAAAATAACATTATCCCATCAATTTTTTTACTAGAAATTGGCAGACCCCCTACTCAAATAGGACTCATGCAGATCAGAAAATGTGCTTGTGAACACAGCACTACCAGCCAATTCTGTGGAGAATCAGGTAAAACAGGAGAAAGGGACAACATAAGCAAACAGCTTTTGCCCCCCTCCCCAACCATGCAATGCAAGCAGAATATACTTTTCTGGGTTATGCCTCAGGAACTCTCCCCTTCTTACATCTTCCCATGATACCAATTAAAGGGTAGTGGACTGTATCCAGCAGAAGACTTCCATGGCAAGAAGGAATTATCTGTAGGTGGAGGCCAACTTTCTTACCTTTTCCTCCCACTGTAGCTCCAAATGCCCCCCAGGGAACAGCAGAACCTCAGGGGAGTCCGAGGTTGCAGTGGGAGAGAACTGGCAAAATGAGCCCCACCTTTGTCTGCTAAAGTCTTCTGCTGGATCTGCTGAGAGCTTAAATGCCCCCTCCACAATCCTCAATTGATTAGCTGACCCACACGAGGATTAAGAACTCTTGCCCATGGACCAACAGAAGCGTTCTGCTCCATTCAACAATGGCATGGGCACAACTGTTACTGCCTGCTGGAAATTGGGGAAGGAACATCTGTTTTCTCTCTCACTCACATACAAAGAAATATCCAAGATGCTATACCACTTTTTCCTTGGTATACACATCACTGGAAGCTAAATCTCTGAATACAAATGACACACATTACTGACATCCTTGGTATACAAGCTTCCGGGATTCATCTTCTTCCTAAAACATAAAATTCTAAATGTGTGGGAAAGCAACTAGAGAGAGAAATTTTGAATAGACAAAAGGGCAGGAGAGAAAAAGTGAAGTAGCTCATTTGCCTTTCTTCCACTCCTGTTTGCTGTATCCAAGATATATTTCACTAAGCTAGAACTCAATTCAAATGTCTCCTATGAAATGTCACATTTGGGCTCAAAGAGTGACTCAATGCTGAAAGTTTTATGAGATACACAATCAGCCTTTCATCTTAGACTGGACCATTCACACCCAAATGACACATATTTATTATGCCACCATTTCCAATGTGACAAAGCACCTGTCCCGTTTATTATATTTTCTGCTGCATAAATAAAGAAGTCAGGTCCAAAATAGTTCCACTCAGCAGATGGGATAGGGTAAAATTTAAGAAGAGAAAGCAGGAGAACTTTAAAATGTACAAAACAGTGTAAGCTTCTTTCACAGAAGACCTTCAGTATATAAAAGTCAGCTGATATATGCTAAGTATTTTAAAGTAACTGGAAGCACAGGTGAATAAATTAGCTTGAGCATTTTCATAGAAAATAAATTAGCGCGAGCATTTACATAAAAGAGGTGCAAACACTTTTAAACTTTCTCTTCCCATATGAACTGTCAATCTCACAATTTGGTATTCTAGACCGGAAAGGTGTTCTAGACTGGAAAGTGGTCCAGGAGTAGGAAATATGCCAACAATGACCTAGTCAAATTACTACCTAGCAAGGTTTAGTCTTCAAAGCCTTCTTTAGCCAGTAGGTATTTTTCAAATTTTGAGACTGAGTAGTGGACACCATCACAAAATGACTGTCTGGGGATGCAATTAGCACCAATCTGGAAATGGCTGCCATGGTCAGCAGGAAATACCATGGACAGCAGTAAGGCATAATGGTATCTACAAGGTGCCACATTGGAGATCAGTGATTTAGAGCATCAGGGATTCTGAAATCTCCAGAAGCTAGATATCTGTGCATCTAGCAAAGAGACTTAAAAATCTGGATAGATTTCAGAGGCCTCTGAAGAAATTTGTGATGGACATGGGTGGCAGGTCATTCAATGCTGTCAAATACAAAAACGGCCTTGGCTGTAGATACAATCACTACTAGATGTCTTGCTCTGCAGGCATAATTAGATCAGTTTCCCACCCCAGCATATCAGACAGCGTGGAGCAATGAAGCAGCTGAAACTATAACAGAAATGGAGAGACATTTGGAACAAATCTGACCAAGCACAGTCTTACTCTGGGGCAAGAACGAACAGAAGAAAAATGCTAGTTTTTGCCACCTTTGTTGCTTGCTGTACAGAGAAGTGGTTCCAGCTTGTAAAAGGCCTTTCAACTGCAGAGACCCAAGGCCATTAACTGAAATTCTCTGGTGCCTTTGTGCATAAAATTGCTATGATTTGCTCTGACTTGGACTCTACCTTCAACAAACTGCATTTCCAGGATGTGTTCCTTAAGCACTTTCTCCCCCTTTTTCAGTTGGATCACTTCAGTTGCAGCCTCAGTATGTTGCCAGTGGTTGGAGAGGTTTAGCCCCCTATGTGTATTTTTGACCCTTCCTCTTTTTGACCTGTTATCACCTAGCCAAGTGGAAATGGTCAATTTGAAGCTCTTCATTCCTTGTTTAAAGAGGAGGTGGGTCCTGACTGCCTTGAAGGAGACACTTCTTCCTTCCCTGCATGAGGCAGTAGGTGTTGGTGCTGCCTTGCTGGGCAGCGTGGATTCTGGATGTATAGCCCTCACTTGCCTGTCTTGTCTAAGTTGCTCAGTGAAGTCTGTGCTTGTCCTTGCTGGACCCTCCAGTACAGTCAAATGTCTCTTGCCTTTGATTTCTGATGGCCATCTCCCTTTTTGTAGGGGAGAAGGGGTGGCTTGGCTGGTCCTTGCTCTGTGGAGGTGTGATGGGGATTCTGGGCATTTTATGCAGGCACTGGCTGTCTGTCTTGAAGGTGCTGAGAATTCATGGTGGGGCATGGGACGTCTCTCATTCAGGAGGCAGAACAGCCAGTAAAGACAGTGCTGCCTTTCTGACCTTGGAACAAACCCTACCCATTGTGATCCATACAAATGCTTTCTCTCTTTTGTGTAATACACACCCAGATGCACACCCATGTGCCAATACAACTGGTGTAATTAGAAGTGCATTCAAAACAATCGCAGGGGGTTTAGCATGAGACTTGCTTATGTCTCCCTGGAGCCATGGGCTGTATTCCCTAAAGATGTCCCGCCAGAACAGCGAGGTGTTGCAAAGTCAGAAAGTTTACAGGTCCAGGTTGCGGCTCAGCAGAGAGAACTGGCCAATTGTCTTAATTATGAGGCATCCCCCCACATCAGCTCGAATTCCATCATCTAGCTCAGTGCTAAATATGAGGGTGACCCTACCACCATAAAAAGTGCAGCATACTATCAGCAGCAAAACCGGAACCTTGCACACACAAAGGCTTCTGGCTCCAGTCATGTTTACAACCCTGTGTTGTTCCCCTGACTGTGAGTTAAGGCACATCCTTCCTTACCTCATCCTTGAACAGGAGACAGAAAATGTGATGGTTTAAAACCAGGTGTGCATGAGCAGGTAACAAAAGTACAGTGATTTCAGCTCTTTACGTTTCAGGTCAAGATTTTCAAGTTAAGATTTTCAGCCTAACCCATCTCTCTGACCTGGCTCGCTCACTCCTTCCCCTCCACAGTTTCTTACGCTCTTGTTTCAACTGCTCTATGCAGGCTTCGCTGGGAGACTGTTCTGAATGCCCAGCCTGTCACCAGCCCTCCCCTTTAAAACATGTTGTATGGATCAAATGGGAACCACTGTCTATTGGATTTTCTGCATCTGGGGTTCCTAGCCCCCTGAGCTGGTTGGGCGACCCCCCAATTTTCAGGGCTTCTGCCCACCACTGGCCAGCTGGCTGGCGGGGGAAGCCCCACCCCCGAACAGCGACATCACACAGCAACGTCCCTGACACAATGACATCACACGGGACTGGCATCATCATGTCAGTGATGCTCTGGTTTAAGTCCAATTTTAACCACAGAGTTTGCTCCAAAAGCAAAGAGCTGACACGATAATGTCACTTCCGCCTGACATCAGCAGGTCAGGGATGTCGCTGCCCACTCCCAGACTTTCCCCCCAAATCCCTCCATGGCACGAAGATCGCACCTGGCAGCCCTAGCTGCATCCCACCCTGAGCTGTCCCAAGGGGGGCAAGCTGCAGAAAGCAGCATCAAAGCCTCCTCACTGAGCCAATTTTGGGCACAACTGGAACAGCAGCTTATTGGTCAGAAACCCACTCACAGCTGATCTGATTGGGTTCTCATCCCTCCCACTCAGCCAAAAGGAGCAG